TCCCCGCACCCCCCCCCAGCTTACCTGCTGCCTGCTTCAGGCTTCCCGCGTATCAAATGTTTGCGGGAAGCAGGGGAGGGGGCGGAGTTGGGGCGGGGACTTTGGGGAAGGGGTGGAGTTGAGGTGGGGGCGTGGGCGGGGCTGGGGGTGCGGCCGGGGCCCCGTGGAGTGTCCTCTTTTTGGACACTCAAAATATGGTAACCCTACTGTAGGTCAGAGTCTCAAACTCAATTTATATTAGGGCCAGTGCCAGTCCTCAAATCCTCCAGCGGGCCAATAATGCATCAGATAGTTGTGTTCGGTATTTTGACTTGTTTATATTCATTGTGGAAAAAAGTGATGCTGCCTCCATGGCTGACTCTGCCCAGCAACTAATGATGCTATCTCCATGGCTGACTCTGTCCGGTGACTAATGATGGTATCTATGTCCCTCTCCCACAGCCAATGGGAGCTGCGGGGGAGGGGCAGTGCCTGCAGCAGACATTGGGCAGCGTGTCTGCATGCGTGTCTCTTCCATGGGCTGCAGTGGGGAGGCTCTCGGGCCGCAGATGGCCCGTGGGCTGGGACTTTGAGACCACGGCTGTAGGTGGTCAGAATTGATGGTGCTGTTTACCACCTTGAATACCTCATCTGGGTGAGATTTGACAGCTTCTGCAGAGATAGAAAGAAAAGTTCTCTTGGCCTTTTGGCAATTTTGGGGGCCAGAGTGTTGATAGCTGTCATCATGCTATAATTATCAGACCTCTCCGGATTGTCAACTCTTTGCCTGTAGGTGGAGTACTGTGTTTTTTAACATGCTTTGGAATTTGATAGGGTTGATCAGCCAGGATTGTGGGTATTTCTAGTTGCCTGGAAGTGAGCATTGCTCTGGCCACTCCGTTAATCAGGTGATGCTGACACAGTAGCTGGATTGTGTTGTCCTCTACATCAACATAAGAACTGATAGGGAATTTTTTTGACTAAGCATTTTTGTCATAAAATGCAGATTTTTCAAAACCTAAGCTTCTTATGGAACTGTGGCTGTTTCAATGAAACTGTCTTTGGGAAGGCTTCTCAGGTCCAGGCTGGAATTTTTGGTCAAAAGGAGAGAGTGAGCAATCCCAGATAGGTACCTGGGAACCAGCTTCAGGTCCCTGTTGTGCCTGATTTAGAGCAGGGTCTTGAAGCTGGATCTCCCATATCTCAGGTGAGTTCCCTAACCTCTGGAGTATTGGCTATTCTGGGCTAAGGGGATCTCTCTCACTCTCTCTGTTTCTCTCTGAGGTTGTTCCCTTTTTATTGTGAAAAAATTCAGGTTCTGATGAGAAACAAAAATAAATTCTGAAACTTCAAATTTTCTCACAAAATGGAATTCTTGTTTGTTGGTCAACATCTTTTGAACACCAGCTTCAGGGTGTGACCAGATGTGTCGGCTGGACCAGCGATGACTTGTGAGACTCCTAGGGAGTAGGGTGACTAGACAGCAAGCGTGAAAAATCGGGACGGGGGTGGGAGCCAATATAAGAAAAAGACCCAAAAATTGGGACTGTCCCTATAAAATTGAAACGTCTGGTCACCCTACTGGGGAGGCAAGTAGAGAGAGATGAGTTTTTTGTCTCATGTATGTTGGCTTTCCTATTCTGTGTAATTATTTTGAGAAACACAACTGAATATTTTATTACAGAAAATATGTAGCTAATTTTTAAATAAACAAAAATGGCAATAAATGATCAAAAACACTTTTTTCTTAGCTATTTAAACTTTTCCAAATGTTTTGTTCAAGGTCTTCGTAAAAGAAAAGTTACATGCATACGTAAGAGTGATCACTTGGTAGTGTCTGACCAAAGATGTGAAAATATGCCGCCTCTACCAGCAGTCTCTGAAAAGTGCAATACAGAGTGTGAATTAAGGTAAAAAGATGTTTTTATGAAAAGTCTCTTTTAAGACTTAACTATTTTGTAGCTGTAGATCTAAACAAAGTATTATACATAGGTGAGCTTCCAGCTTTTTAATAAAAGAAAATGAGTTGATTGCATGGAGTCACACTCTGAATTTATACTTGTGAAACTAAGAGAAGAATTATTGTATTTATTTTGGTTCTTAGTTGAGGGGGGTGAATTTCACCTCCCCAGCATCTTTACTGAATTTCAGCAAGAATTATACTCTCACTAGGAACTCCTTTGGGGCCCAGTCTTCTATTGCTGGTGCACCAGGAATGCCCAGGTTGCAGTATTCAAAGGATGCAGGATTAGAATCACTCATTGAGATTTTCAAAATCACCCAAGGGATTTAGACACAAGTTCTGTTAAGTCTTTCAGGGTAATGCAGCATTTTGGAGCAAGCAGTAGTGAGCCTCTCAGTCTGGGTCAATAGACCTGGGCTAGCAGGGCTCATACTAGTGCTCTAAAAATAACTGTATAGAGAGCACTTTGACGTTGTGGCTTTGGCTGGATTCGAGCTCAGATGGCCTCCTTCCCACTAGGCTTCAGTGCCTGAGCTCCAGCCCGAGCCGCAACGTGTAAAGCGCTGTCTGTGCAGCTATTTTGAGAGCACTAGTACAAGCCCTGATATCCGGAGTCTGTCAAACTGGGCTGGGAGACTGATTCCCGCTCGCTCCAAAATGCTGTGTAGACAAACTCTCCATTTATATGTGCTTAAATCCCCATGACAGTTTTGAAAATTTCAATCCTTATGTTCACTTTCAATTTATTTAATCTATTGCCTAAAATCAATTTTATACTGCATTTCTCACTATAGTATCTAAGTGTTTAATGCATTTACATTGTATTTTTTAAAATATATTTAGTTTTATATAACAGTTTATACTTGTAGGTGGCATAATATTGGCAAAAGTGAGTGCACATCACGGTGTGGCCCAGGGTATCGGTCTTTAGACATCCACTGCATGAAGTACTCTGTTTCAAAAGGACTGAGTGTTCCAGTGGATGATAAATACTGCGCTGATCAGCAGAAACCACCAATCAGAGAACCCTGTCATGGTGACTGTCTGTTAACAAGCTGGCACTACACAGAATGGTCAGAGGTACAAATTCAAACCCTTGTGATTGTATAATTGCAGTTCTTCTGATTAGTGCTCATACTAGATTTTGTTTTTTTTCTGGTAGTAATTTGCTCTGATTTTCTCTATTTAAATAACTGAAAGAAAAATTCCTTTGGAAAATCTGAGTTGTTATAGGGGAGTTGGTCGCAAACCCTATATTTAGGTTTCCTAACACTTTCTATTATAAAAGATTATTGAAACTTTTTTTATACAAGCTCTAACACCTCTATTGTTTGATGCTGGCCTTTGAAATTCAGCAGAGAGAAGAGCGTTTTCTTTGTCCCAGCTACATTTCCATTCCGGTTTAGTTGAGTTATAAATGGTTTTAAAATTGCCATTTTGCTTCTCTTGCTTTCATTCTTTAGGAAAATTTTGGCAGGATGCCAAATCACTGAACACGACCACATCCTCAAAGCACCAGCACAAACTACGTTGGGAACAACTGGGAGCTGCCAGAGCAGCTGTAGTGCTAGAGTCTTCCTAATCCATACCCCCATGAACATATTACATAGCCCCAGCATCAGATCCTCCTCTATGCAGGCATTACAAAGGGCAAGAGCTCCTCCAGCTCCCAGTGCAGGTGGGAGTGGGGGTGGGGAAAGAGTTGGGCTGATCTTCATCTGTAACCCCTCTGGACCCAGCACATGGCTTCAGAAACCCATCCTCCCCATCCCCGAGGGCAGGTGCTGCTCCCTTCCTCTGGAGAGAGAGCCGAGAGAGAGCCAGACCAAGCCAGCCTCCCCTGAGAACTCCCTAGATCTATCCTGGGCTAGGCTCCTCCAATAACTCCTTTAGTATGAATGATACCTTAACATTATGAATAAATGAACTCTCATTTATATTCACATTTTTGTTGCTGGAGAAATGCTAATGGATCATTGGACTGGTATAGCCTTGAATTGGGCATTGGTTAGAAAACAAGAAGGAAAAAAGACCTACCACATTACATCAGTGACTTATTTCATCCTCTGGGATAACAGCCTTCTCCTTCTGCCAGCTAATGTAATTAGTTTTGTAGCTCAAGTGCTAACAGTTTGTGATATAGCAATGCTGAACGTTCAGTATGCAAACCCTGCTGATGATGTAGAGTGGCAGGGGTGTTGTTATACTCATATATAAGAGCATTTTTTTTAACTTTTCACTTTTTAAAAATACTTAGGAAATTACACACAAAATTATGTTTAAAGAAAATTATTTAGATGGCAAAGTCATGCACTTGAAAGTTAGGAAATGCCAGAATTAAGGTTGTCCAATCAACTAAATTCTACCTCCTTGTGTATATGCATTATGTTACAGTCTTTAATTGCATGATCATATACTATTTTTTCCACAGAATCCCTGCATCGTTCAATACACAGGATGGATGCAATCCTAAATCTGGCATTTCCTAACTTGGAAGTGCTTTATTTTGTAATTTAAATTGCTTTCTATTACTATAAAGTTTTAAATGTATTTTATAGAAAATAAGGTATAAAATTGCAGCCTTAATGTTAGTTTATGAACTATATCATAGAGCTAAACAGCAAAGTAACGAATTTATCTCTGAGATATTTATTTAACATCTATAGAGTTACACCAGGGATGAATTTGGCCAAATAGATCTATTTTTAATGTAGCTTGAATTGGTCTTTGTTACAGTACATTTCTTGTGCTCTGTTTTACTTTTTTCTATATTACAGTGTTCCAGGAGCTGTGAGAGAGGCATAAGAACGAGAGAAGCTTTTTGTATGAACAACTTTGGTCGTCGGCTAGCTGATAGAGAATGCCATGAGCTTCCAAGGATTGTAACACAGAACTGTAATGAGTTTTTATGTCCAAACTGGGCTACTAGTGATTGGAGTGAGGTAACACTAATCACGCAAAACTTCAGGCTCCTTTGATATTATTATACTACTTTTAAAATTACTTTAAATGTAAGCAGTACTTTTTAAATGTTCACAGTTTTGGTATTACTAGTTATTTTCATTGTAAATTAAATATAGCATATTCTAATGCTAGAATTTTGCAAAGCTCTCCAGATAGCTTGCTTGATGTCTTGTAATTCAGTTTTTCACGGAAATGTTATTGGAAGACTGTGAGGGTTCTTACAGGGATTTTATCTAATATCTTACCACTAATTTTTCTGAAGTAATACAAACTAAGAAGTCAAGCAAAGCACATTATTGTTTATATTTTCATGTAGATTATACTGGCTTTCTCTGAATTGTGAGTGGGCTAAGCATGTTTACTCTGGAAGTTATGACATATGTTTTTTCATAATTTATGATAAGTATACGTTTTATAATACTTTAATATTAATGAATAAATGAACTCTAATTTGTATTCACATTTTTATAGCTGGGGAAATGTTTATAGATCATTGGACTGGTATATCCTTGAACTGGGAACTGGTTAGAAAACAAGAAAATAAAGAATTGGTTGTATTAAACTATAAAAATGTTTTTGTGATTAGCTGTATATTAACTGAAGTCCAACAAATGATTGGAAAAGGTGAATCTATAAATTTATATTTCATACTCTTTATCAGCTGACAAATGTAATGTTATCACTCTGTAGTGTCCTGTGACATGTGGGAAGGGAATGAGGCATCGGCAAGTATGGTGTCACCTGAATGATGAAAAACTGAGAGAGAACTTCTGTAATCCAAACTCTAGACCAGAATCAGTAAGATCATGTGAACTTCATGAATGTGCATCTTGGCAAGTAGGACCATGGGGATCAGTGAGTACATAAGCATTTTTGCTTTTTTCATCTATTCCAAACTTTTGAATGATCATGCAACAGCAAAGTTTTAAAATATTTTCTGTTGGAATATAATTGCTAAGGTTGTAAGATTCTGTCACACCTCAGCATGTTTTACGTGTGTTGAGTAAAAAGTGTTGCTAACCCAAAATGAATGAAAGTAGATTCAATTCCCAGAGCAGTCATATTGGTGGTAAATGTCCAGCCAGTCATTTCTAGACAAATATGCACTTTTAGGGGCATCCTTGATTTAAAATATAAGACTATATATGTTAAGCTAATGATACTGTTAAGAATCTCCAGCTGCTTAATCTAACATATAATCTTTAGGAAAAATGCTCATCTTATTTATTTTAATTAAAATAAGTGTATTTACAATTCAGCAGTGTGTGCTTTGTTTCTAAAGGCATATATCTGGTATACATCCGATATACTGCAAAATTCCAAAATAGGATGTATTCGTTTGAAAGAGGGATATTTCTGGTAAAGTAGTTGAAAAATAGTTCAGAAGAAGGGTCCTTAATTTGATGGAGTCCCATCTGAATAATCAAGCCAGCATTGTTTTCAGGTTATTCAGAAGAAGTCTCTGATATTCAGTGAGAACTTGTATCTAGGGAGCTGGACAGCATATGATAATATTTCTTTTACCTGTGAGATGCAGAGACGTTGCAGAGAAGAGGCCTATAAGCACATTCTTAATCTATACTTTTCACTTCTGTAAAACTTTTAATCTATCTAATCTCTCTCCATCGAAGGCAGAATTCCTCAAATTTAGTGTAGTGCTGGGAGTCTGTGGAACAATTGCTAATAGATCTGTCACCAGTACTGGCTTCTCTTCATTTCCAGCTGCTAAATTGCATTAAAATGAGCTAAAAATCCATTAAATACTTTCATAATATTTCTTTTCCATGTAAGTAATTGCTATACTTGGCATTTCTGATACAACACCAACAAGAAATTTACCAAATAAGAAATCCGTGTAATAACAACAAAACAAAACTCTCCATCCTCATTACTCCAAATTCCATGCATTGGCAGCTACTCATAAACTGCAATTTTTACTGCCAACTTCTAATTTAACAACAATATGTGCTGTGGCACCTTACAGACTAACAGACGTATTGGAGCATGAGCTTTTGTGGGTGAATTTCACCCACGAAAGCTCATGCTCCAATACGTCTGTTAGTCTATAAGGTGCCACAGGACTCTTTGCTGCTTTTACAGATCCAGACTAACATGGCTACCCCTCTGATACTTAACAATATGTACATATTTCTTAGAATACAGGATTTTTTCTGATAACGTAAGAAATGAAGAAGGGTCATGTATAATGAAGAAGGGTCATTAACATTAACTTTGAGCAAAAGAACAGCTTTCATAGCATCTACACCAGTGGTGGGCATCCTGCAGCCCGCGGGCCGCACGTGTAATCTGCGCCGCTTCCCGCAGCTCCCATTGGCTGGAAACGGCGAACCACAGCCACTGGGAACTGTGGAAGGTGATGCCTGAGGACGGTCAATATAAACAAACTGTCTCACGGCCCGCCAGCAGATTACCCTGACGGGCTGCGTGCAGCCTGCAGGCCGCAGGTTGCACACCACTGATCTACACTGATTTGACTTTTCACTTCATTCCCTACAATGTTTATCACACTGGAAGCTTGTTTCACTGGACTGTTTGATCCTAGTAACAGAAAGTTAATCTGCCTGGTGTACAATGCATCTTAAACAAAAATTTTGAAGCTATAAAAACCCAAATGTTTTGATATGATCCCTGGGTAATTTCTTGGGACACTATATGAAAAACCACAGCGTATGGTCACTCTGCCTAAGGCCAGCATAGCCAGCCCTGGAAGATTCCTGTGGGGTATGCTTGGGGTAGCATATCTCCATTGTGGCTTTTAAATGACCAGGAGACATCCCTGTGTCTTGCAGTCTCTGCGTGCTGTAGTGGCCTCTGGAGCTGTTGGCTGCCTGTGTAAATTGGAGCATCCTGAGGGCTGGTCTGATTTATGTCTGGAGTAATCTGAAGCCTGGATGTTATCAGGATTAGAGAAGCAGAAAGGGTGTTTTTGCATATTCTTCTAACACAGCCGTTTTTCTTTTTTGTCCTAGAGAGAGAGGTTGGGGTTGGATGGTTGAGGTTTGATATCCAGTGGGATATGAAAGGGGCACTTCCTGTGACTTGAGCAATGTTTGGAGGGGACATGATTGTGGATAAAGATGGTTATCAGGGAAATAAATGTACTGTATTTGCATTAACCATAGTTGTTAAACATTTTTGAAGGCTAATAAGCAGAGTAAAGTGAGCAGGCCAATTGCTGTACAATGAGGGTCTGATTTTCAGAGTTTTAGACATGCAGTTCCCTGAAAGTAGATTAAATAATGCTAATTGTGCATAAAATGGCAAGTTATGTATAACTTTTCATTCGTAGATATGTTTAATACAATTATTGGTATGGTAATTAAGCATGTAAATTAGCTCCTGCGCAGTAGTTATTCAGAATTATTATTCAATATTAAAGTTATTCCACCTGTTAAATTATCATTAGAACATTTTTAGAGAGAGAATAAATTTAAATTTAAAAAAGGACTGTGCAAAAAAAAAATTTCTAGATTATTATGTTCCTGTTCTTGTTACATGGTTGTTGTTTAAAAGGAGAAATTGTATCAACATTTTAAAATGATGACCAAGTTTTAAACTATTGGAAGCAACTAAAATTTTTGTCTTTGACAGTGTGCTGTGACATGTGGACGTGGATACCAAATGCGTGCAGTCAAATGTGTGACTGGCACTTATGGAGTTATTTTAGAGGATGACCGAGAGTGCAATGCTGCTACCCGCCCTAGAGACAGTCAAGTAAGTCAAACAAATGCACTTTAAGCAAACAATTATTTGTTTTTTTATTCAAATAAACCCAATTATATAAATGTAGCCTCATTGCCATGGGGGTGGGGGGCTTCAGAGAAGTATCTCCCAGTAGCCTAGAGGCTGGGACTATTATACTGAAACTAAGTGTCCATATTGTGTACTTCAAATCTGGATAGTGGAGGCTGAGCAAGAGAAGAGGCGTTATAGGGCAGGAGCGTGACTGACATTCCTGGACAGCCAACCACTCCCTGACTAGCCTGCACATGCCTGGGACTGGCCAGAGTTTTGAAGACAGTCAAAAGAACCTTTGATTAATACTAAAACGCTCCAGTGCCTGGAGCAATATGCATAGGCTGACCACATGCAGGCTGGGGGCAGACTCTGTTGTGGGATTCTGATCATGTTTAGTTAATAGAGGGGGGATATGACTACTTGAGGAAGGAATCTCTGAGGTTAATATATTTTAGTTGTATAAGCCGGTATAACTTGGTTCCCTGCCCTTTCCTTTTATTCTGGATTCCTATCCTTCCCTTTCTTTTAATTTAATCCTATCTTTCCCCTAATAAAGTGTTTGTTTGTTTGTTTGTTATGCTCAATTGATCTTTGATTCCTTTTAATAATATAATGCAAATGTTCTGGAGTCCATAGGGGTTGTGTATTCATATGTACATCCAGCTACTGGGTGGAGGAACCACATATTAAGTACCCGGTACAGCTCCAGAACACCAGCAAGCACCTAGGGCTGAGTCCAATTATCAGCCCAAGGAACACAAAGAACACAGGGCCCATTGGTTGTAACGTTGGCGAAAGAGTTATTTAAGAGGAAGCAGCGAGTGAATTTGACTGCTGTTGGGGATCAGGCTGCTCCAGAAGAGGAGTACTTAAACAAGCCTTGCAAATGTATAAGCATGTAATAATTGATTGAAATGTGAAAATAAAGCTGTTGCTTCAAGTGATTGTCCCCACAGATTCAACTGTTGGTGCAGATGCACTACATACACAGGAGATCAGATTCTTCTGAATAGCAGTGTCTGCGGAGGCCATGCCTGTGCCCTGTAGCTGAGGGCATAAAGTACAGGGCAGCCACAACTCATACTCGGTTTCTTCTTATCGCCCATGGTTGTGAGATAGATCGTGTCTGCCTTCCTTCGTCTGAGCAAGTTAGCTGATACAGTTCTATAGGTTGGAGTAGTTACTGCTAGTTACTTCATTATTAATTCATTGTTAATTCATTATTAGCCTTACATAAGTTGTTTTTGCCCATGGGCTCAAAATAAACAAAACAAAAATCTGCAGACTAAGGACTGCGTAGAGATACGGTTTTCCCCCTCCCCTCTGTACAAGAGTCATTGGAGCAGGAGGACTAGATCCTGGGTCTCCCACCTCCCAGGAGAATGCTCTACCCACCAGCTATGGAGTTATTCTCCTTCTCTCTTTCAGGCCCAATGACTATTTAATAATTTATCCAAATTGCAACAGCTTCAGCAGGAGAATTGAAGGAAACCTGCACCAGAATATCCCATAGGCTTGTAGTTAGGGCACTTACCTGAGAGGTAGCAACTCCTTATTCAAATCTTTTCTCATCAGGCAGAGTGTGGACTTGAGCTGGTGGTCTCCCACATCCTGTGTGATTACCCTCACAGCTAGGCTAAAAATTATAATGAAGCTCCTTCTCCTGGCTGTTTTGTATGGAGTTAGGTGAGCATGCCTACCAGATCAAGCCCGATGGATGAGTTAGCGCCTATCTTTCCCTAGTTCGTGGATCACACTGTGGCTTAGGCACCCAGATGCCAATAAGGCAGAGAAATAGGCACCTAGGGAACTTGTACTGCAAAAACTTAGACAGCAGCTGAATGGGGGTTTTGAGAATACTAATGGTGCCTAAATCTGGTACTTAGGCCCCTAAGTCCCTTTATGAATCTATCCTCAAAAGTGGAATCTGTGTGGACAACATATATTGAAAAACCATTATAAGTATGGGGTAAAAACTGTTCTTTTAAACATCATTGAATAAGGCTATGGAAAAGTAGAGAACACTATTACTGAAAAATAGTGTTACCATAATATAATGGTGATTTGCTTTGCTTTTTGCAGTTCTGAAAAATGTGTTTTAAAGTTTACATTATCCTTTTTTGCACAGGACTGTGAAATGCCTCCTTGTCCAGAAACCACAAAATTATGGACAACATCGCTTCCTGTCATAGGGAAGGTGACTCAGTGGAGATATGGTCATGGACCCCAGTATGTAATATATTACAGTGGACGTAATTATATAGTTTAGAAAGTTCCCATTCTGTCCCATTTTTCAGTGCTTAGAACTTAAATTTGATCTTTTGGTCTGAAAAGATGAACTTTTGGGGGTTGTTTGTGCAAAAGTGATTCACCAGTTTTTAAGCATCGGGAGAGTGAAAATATAAATTTTTCCCATTATAAAAGGATTATTGATGCCTCTGGTTTAAACAGCTGTACTGTTGAATAGTGGTGGGGTTAAAGTTGTAATTTTGCATGTAAATAAACTTCATTGAAAAGAAGTGTCTTTGAGTACTCTGTTAAAAATTGGCTTTGATTTATCTGAGATATGAACATTTGAAAAGATGCACTGATCCTGTATATTTTGTGTAAGTTCATAAGGTGTATAACTGAGACATGCATGCATGTCTAATTTATGTGTGTAGTGCAAAGTGTACTGAAATTGAGACCGGATTGAGATAATGCCTACTCAAAATGCCTTTGACACAATTTATGGACAGTTTTTGAGATATGAACACATCAGGGAGGACTTGATAGATTTATGCTGGTGTCAAAAACAGAGTAATGATGTTATAAATCAGGCCCTAAATATACTTTATCGTTATGTCAATAAAATTAGTCTCAATAAAATAATTGAAAAGTATAGGAAGATGCTACCTATAGGCATCTAAACTGTAGAAAATAATAATAATAATTATGTGATAATGCAATCATATATTTTGAAGACTACATCTTAACGCGTACACTCATGTGAAACAGGTAAAGTTGCACATCAAACCCCATAGCCATTGTGTGAGCCGTGCATGTCAGGCCAATCCAGCAGTACTCCACCTCTCATTCCCCGAAAGCAGAGCTCCATTAGAGCCACACTGTCAGGGCTTCCCCACTAGCAGTTGCTCCCAAGACTTCACCTTAAAGGGAGCTATTCACCATGGAGAGAGGCCAAGAAAGGTGATACAGGCTGAGACAAATACACATCTTGGGTTACTTGAAGAGTTACTCTGGATTTATATCAGTATAATTGAGGTTGGAATCTGGCTCTTTGTGTTTAATTTATGGATTAAAACCTATATTAAATCATGTTAGTACTAAATATGCTTACGTTTGCAAGTTAATTTTGGATTTTTTGATCTAATAAAATATGATCAACATATATTGTTCTGCTTCATAGTGCTCTGCATCTTGTGGAAAAGGTAACCGTGCTCGCTATGTGAGTTGTAGGGATGCTCATGGTGGAGTTGCTGATGAATCATTCTGTACACACTTACCCAGACCAGCTGAGATTTCAAACTGTTTTAGTTCATGTGGAGAGTGGCAAGCTGGAAATTGGTCACCCGTAAGTATTGATTTTATTGTTGTTGTTGCATATTTATATTAGTTAGTGCCCAAAGGCTCTGATTAGAATTGGGTCTTCATTGTGCTAAGTGCTGTGTAGAGGTGTATGAAGAGACTGTCTGTGCCCTGAAAAAATTAATTATACTTTTATTAATTTCAAAAGTAAATATGAATATCTTTAGTTATTGTTTTTTGATGTTATGTTGTATCACAAGTGTTGGGTTAATTTTTGGTCAGTGCACAGTTACATGTGATGATGGAATAACAAAAAGACAAGTTGTCTGTGTCAACTACCATCAACAAATTGATGAGAATTACTGTGATCCCGAAAGCCGTCCTTCCAACGAGCAAGAGTGTAACATGCCTCCATGCCTGCCAGTTTATCGTCATATTCCTAAAATACATGATCATCCAAGCCATTTTCCAGAACTAGATTACCCTCCAATACACAGGGGCCATCACCCACAAGATAATGTAAATCAATGGAGCCATCCTTCTGTAGGAGGAAACCAGTGGAGAACAGGACCATGGGGAGCAGTAAGCAAACTACTAAAATGTATTTACTATGTTCATCATTCTGCATGCATTAGAGTTTTCTTTTTTAACATTTCTGAAAATGATGTTGTAGTACAGTACCTATTTGGTAAGCTTAAATATACATTTTTATTTTAAAAGCAATATTTTAATATGTTTAATCAAAAACAATTTATTTTGATTTTTTAAATGTAGAATGTTTAGAACCTTTACAACATTATTTTTTGGGGTTTTTTTAATTTATAGTTCAGTGCCAATTTCCAAATTTCTTATTTTCAAATTCATTTAAGCAATATATTTCACATTGCAGTGCTTACACAACTAACAAAGATGTATATTTGCCTTTTGTTTTACTAGTGCTCTAGTACTTGTGCAGGTGGATTCCAACGTCGTGTTGTAGTGTGTCAAGATGTGGATGGAATAAGTGCTAGTCATTGTGATGAGGCAACAAAGCCCCCAGAGTCAAGGCACTGTGATTCTGGACCCTGTCCACGATGGAACTATGGGAACTGGGGAGAAGTAAGATTATTTCACAATTTTTTTAAAAAAATTGTGAACCTTTTGAGCATTTTTTTAAAAAAGGTAAAATAATTATTTACGTATGTATGGAAGAGAAAATCTTTTTTACTAGTCTAAAAAGGATCAAACATTTTCAAACTCAAACAGTTTTTATCTACCACTGTCTTCACAATGAATAAGCCATTTATTTGTTCAATGATTAATCCAGCCTTTGTGATATAGATTGCCTATAAAAGGGGGTGTTGTTTCTGGTCACCATATCTTTAAGCAGTAGACCAGTGCGGACTTGCTAGTGGTTATAGCTTTGTCATGCTGCCTGACACATGGCAATTATTCATTAGTCTAATTAGGAGTTGTAAAATTTCCTTAATTCAATGCTCCACTCTAGTAGTGTCTTGAACCAGGAGAGATTTAAGATTATTTTCTTTTCTAAAAAGATGATTTGGGTGGGATAAGGGTTTACTCCAATAATCATTGTCTAACACAGTGGTTCTCAAACTTCTGCATTGGTGACCCCTTTCACACAGCAAGCCTCTGAGTGCGACCCCCCCCCTTATAAATTAAAAACACATTTTTTTATATTTAACTCTATTATAAATGCTGGAGGAGAAGCAGGGTTTGGGGGTGGAGGCTGACGGCTCGCGACCCCCCACATAATAACCTCGCAACTCCCGGAGGGGTCACTACCCCCAGTTTGAAAACTCCTGGTCTAACAGCCACCATAAGAAAATACAAGAAAGTGAAATAAAAGATTAATAGATTGTAAAGCCAGAAGGGACCTTGTGATCATCTAGTCTGGCCAACTGTATATTGTGGGCCATAGGACTTCCTTAAATTATCTCCTATTTGAACTAGAGCATATCTTTTAGAAAAAACATCCTATCTTCATTTAAAAATGTCCAGTGATGGAGAATCCATCACGACCCTTCGTAAATTGTTCCAATGGTTAATTATCCACGCTGTTAAAAATGTGCACCTTGTTTTTAGTCTTAATTTGTCTAGTTTCAATTTCCAGGCATTAGATCTGGTTATACCTTTTTCTGATTAAACTAAAGAGCCCTCTATTATCAAATTTCTGTTCCTCAAGTAGCTACTTATAGACTGTAATCAAGTCAACCCTTAATCTTCTCTTTGTTAAGATAAACAGATTGAGCTCTTTGATTCACTATAAAGTATGTTTTCCAATCTTTTAATCATTCATGTGGCTCTTCTCTAAACCCTCTCCAATTTGTCAAAATCTTTCTTGGATTGTGGACACCAGAACTGGACATAGTATTCCACTAGCAGCTGCACTAGTGCCAAATACAGAGTTAATATAACCTCCCTACTTCTACTTGATATTCTCTGTTTATACATCCAAGGATTGGGTTAGCCCTTTTGACCACAGGTCATTTTCAGAGTCATTGCTTCCCAGGAGAGAATCCCCCATTTTGTAAGAATGACCTACATTCTTTGTGCTTAGATGTAGGATTTTACATTTGGCCATATTAAAATGCATATCATTTGCTTGCACACAGCTTATCAAGTGATCCAGCCGGTATTTTTCCCGGACATGTTCGGCTTTTTGGCAATTCCCCCCGGATTGCCGAAAAGCCGGACATGTCCGGGAAAAACCGGACATATGGTAACCCTAAACTAGCTTTTCCATTTGTTTTAGCAGTACATGTAACATTTGACAGAACTTCTGGCTAAAGTTTGTTTCTCTCTTTTTGTTTCTGTTCTACAAAACAATAACTTTAAATTTGAAAAAATAAATATGTAGTATGTATATCAGGAGACACCTATGTCTACAAAACAAATGGCCTTTAAGAATCAGAATATGAACATCAGGATGGGTAGTGTACTTTGTTGCCCCGTGTTCCTGGGGGATCTCTTGTTCAAGCAGGAAACTTAGTTTCATGCCCAATTTCCATTTGCCCTTATCACAGAAAAAGGGGTACATGCTACACTGACTCTGGGTGCTAACCCTGAAGACTTACTAGTTTCTCTTAATTTTTTTCTCTCACACTAGTGTTCACTTCTGCCTGAAGGAGCAGACTGTTTTCTATCTTCTTGTCTTTTGTAGACAAATGTTAATTAAATATAAAAATGTAGTTTTGTAAGCTCTTTAGGGCACAAACTGCCTTTTCGTTATGTATGGGTGGAGTACCTAGTAAATGGAACGAAGATTTTTGCCTGAGGCATCTAGGCAGTAGCACAATAAAAATCTTAAATAGTAATAACAGTTTACTGATTATGCAAATATCTGTTTGGCATATGAAGACTGTTGATGAGACCCCTGAACTATATCTTTTTTATTTTTTTTAGTGTACTCATACATGTGGAGATGGAATAAAGACAAGATTAGTGATTTGTCAGCTTCCTAATGGCCAAATGTTGAATGATCAAAGCTGTGAAATTCTAGACAAGCCACCTAATATGGCACAATGTAATGTGCATTCTTGCCCTGGAGATGTTTCATGGCAACGGGGACCATGGAAATCGGTACGATAGTATTCACTATTTCCTCCTTCTTTTTCTCTCTTTCCCTTTCTCTCTCTCTCTCTGTCTCATAAATTATATATAGTATTTTTGTTTGATCACAGGGAGATAAAACTGTGTGTGAAATGTACCCATTGTAGCTTTATTAAGCATCTGCTACTGCTCCCATTTAATTAAATGGAAAACTTCCATTGACTTGTCTGGCAGCAGGATGTAAACAATCATAAGAAACATTTTAAATGTGGTTGCTGTTCATCCTGGATTATAGTGCTGGTTAACAGTTTATTCTGTTCTACAGGAGGAGGAATCAATTTGCGATTTTAAATTTAAAATAAATACTGTAATTTGTACTATAGTATCTAAATATTTATATCTATATTTGCATGTAGATATCTAATGCATAACATTCTAATCAAAGATACATTTAATACTTAGATGTATCTCACACACATGTATATTTTGTTTTCCCTGTAATCAGTCAGTACTGTACTCTGCATTTTATGTATAATTGTGTATAAAGGTTTACATTTGTGAATATAACAATGACTAATTAAAGGTGTCTGTATAATTGTATAAGTAATTATCATAGAGCTCCTATCTATATGTCACTGTCTATTATTATGTAAAAACAAATACAGTGATCACCATTAAAATCTGTACAGTTCCCACTTGCAGATAATATACATTACTGAAATAATCACAGTAGACCCTATGCTAAGGGACTAGGTAGTATTCCCTATGCTGTGAATGCCACAGTAATATTTATTAGACAACGTGCAAAAATTGTAAAGAGATCAATGGCAACCACCATAGGGCCTGGATCCAGCTCCACTGAAGTCAGTGGCAAAAATCCCATTCTCTTCATTGGGAGCAGGACCAGGATCACAATTCTGTTAAACATTACTTATATTAACAAGCTGATTTAATTTGGTGTTTTTGATCAAAGAATGTGGAAATATTGTATTAAGTGAACTTCAGATTTCAATTTTAAAATATTTTTAAATAATCTAATTTTATAACCTAAATTTGGTACAAATATAAATTGAAATAGATGTTTTAATTAGTAATTTATAATAGTATCTCTTTCTTCCACTGTGCAATCAGAGTTTCAGTCTTGTGGTGGTGCCTGTATGTCTGTTAAGCAAATCTTGTTTAGCCATTTGCCAAATGTTAACTGGTGACTTGCAAACACTTACTAATATATGCTTTTGGGGTTTTTTTGTTTAACTGTAGAATTACATGCTGAAAGGATAAGCAGAACTTTCAGCATTATCACTGACGATAAGCTCAATGTTTATTCCTTTCCCATCTCCTGAAATCACTTACTGCCAGTTTGTTCTCTGAGTGATGCTGCAGATTGCACTGTAATATGTGGGTGCCCTCACAGTCATAAGTGGGATGGTAACCTGGTGGAGCATACAGCCAGTCTGTTGAGGAAGTGGGGTCCAGGTAAATGCCCTTTTAATTAAACCATATGTGATGTAGTTTTGCAAAGATTTTCATATTATTTTATATCCCAAGTGATATAAAGTGCATTTTATATCTTTCAAAACTAAGCCATATGGTTTAAAATGGCACCTTTTAGCACCCAGTAGGGACCTTTATTTGACCCTCTCTTGACTCCATGCCCTAGTGGGGTTCTGTGGTGATGTTGACATCACCAGCATGTTGCATATTGGGTGTCACTCCGAGAGGGAGCTGGTCATCAAAACCAGTAGGGGGACCTAAGATGAAAGTATATTCAAATGCTACATGTGTTGACTATGTTTCTTAACCTTACTATTAGGAGTATTCAGCACATAATACTATAATGAACATTTAAAAAAATATTTCAAATCACCTTTTAAGTAGGGCTTAGATGAATGCACATTGTCTGGAATTATTGATCACTAAGGGCTAGATTGTGTGTTTTTGGCACAACCCTTAGAGTGGTGCAAAGTTGCAGAGCCCTGGAGGAGCACCAGAGGAGTTCTGTCTCAGAAGCAGAAAGCTTCTACTCTGAGCTCCCCGGTGCATTGTGGTGTGCTCTCTGCAAATTGATACACTTAGAATATTTCTTCACTCCCACCTCACTGGTTCTGCTGACCAGTGTGTATGGAAGAGTTGGGAGAAGCCAGGACTCTGCCTTCCATGTGCCATTTTGTAGTGCTGGGCAACCTTGGATGAGTGTCTGGTAGCCACCCTGTAATCTCCAGAGCTCTTTGATTCTGCCTTATCTTCACCTTGCCCCTTCCATTCCTCTCTCCTGCCCCCTTAAAGGCTCTGTGGGAACTAGGTAGAATCTAGTTCTACATTCTTAAATAAAAATGTTATAGGATAACAAGTGTGAGTCTGGATAAGAGCACATTATACATTTTATATAAAATTGTGAGTTATCTGTATCCTAGTAAAGAGAAGAAGATAGAAGTTGATGGAGTACAGGTAGGAACTGAAAATGAAACAGTCAGACAAAAAAGGGTCCCTTTCAGTTACATCACATGAAAGAAGACAACTAAATATTGACAAATTATATGAGTGCTTTTATATAAATAGTAGAAGTCTAAATATTAAGATGGGTGAACTTGAGTGCCTGGTGTTAAATGAGAATATTGATATATCAATAGGCATCACAGAAACATGATGAAACGATGATAGGTCACACTGGTGGGGGAGTGGAACTATATGTGAAAGAATGCGTAAAGTTGTATATAGTAAAAATCTGAAATGAATCAAAATGTACCACAGAATCTCTATGGATAGAAATTCCGTGCTTGAATAAAAAGAGTATAGCAGTAGGAATATACTACCAATCCCCTGACCAAGATGGTGATTGTGAAATGCTCAGGGAGATTAGAGAGGCTACAAAAATAGAACGTTTAATAATAATGGATAATTTCAACTATCCCCATATTGACTTGATTCATGTCCGCTCAGAATGGGATGCAGGGATAGTATTTCTAGACTCCATTAATGACTGCTTCTTGGAGCAGCTAGTCCTGGAACCCACAAGGGGAGAGGCGATTCTTGATTTAGTCATAAGTGGCGGACAGGACCTGGTCCCAGAGGTGAATATAGCTGAACTGCTTGGTAATAGCAACCATAACATAATTAAATTCAATATGCTTGTAGGGAGAAAAATGCCAAGGGAACCCAACACAGTAGCATTTAACTTCAAAAAGAGGAACTATCCAAAAATAAAGAAGCTAGTTAAATGAAAATTAAAAGGAACAGTCACAAGAGTGAAATGTCTGCAAGCTGCATGGAAACTTTTTAAAAACACTATAATAGGGACTCAAACTAACTGCATGCCCCAAATAAAAGAACAGTAAGAGGACCAAAAAAAATGCTACCATGGCTAAACAACAGAGTAAAAGAGGCAGTTAGAGACAAAAAGACATCCTTTAAATATTGGAGGTCAAACCTAGTGACGAAAATAGAAAGGAGCATAAATTCTGGAAAGCCAAGTGTAAAAGTATAATTAGGCAGGCCAAAAATGAATTTGACACAAAAACAAACAGGAATTTTTTTTTTAAGTACATCAGAAGCAGGAAGCCTGCCAAACAATCACTGAGGCCACTGGACAATCAGGGTGCTAAATATGCACTAAAGGCAGACCAGGCTGTTGTGGAGAAGCTAAATCAATTCTTTGCATTGGCCTTCACTGCAGTGGTTGTGTGGTGTCAGTACAGGAGGTTTTGGAACACATTGATATATTAAACAGTGATAAGTTACCAGGACCAAATGTCATTCACCCACGAGTTCTGAAGGACTGCAGATATGAAATTGCAGGACTACTAACTGTGGCATGTAACCTATCACTTAAATTACTCTCTGTTCCGAGGGTAGCTAATGTGACACCAACTTTTAAAAAGGCTCCAGAGGCTATTCTGGCAATTACAGGGGTAAGCCTAACTTCAGTAGCAGGCACAATGATTTAAACTATAGTAAAGAACAGAATTTTCAGAGACATAGATAAACAAAATATGGTGGGAATAGTCAACACGGCTTTTGTAAAAGGAAACCACACCACACCAATTTATTAGAATTCTTTGAGGGCATTGACAAAGGTGGACCAGCAGGATCCAGTGGATACAGTGTACTTGGACTTTCAGAAAGTCTTTGACAAGGTCCCACGCCAAAGGGTATTAAGCAAAGTAAGGAATCATGGGATAAAAGGAAAGATGCTTTCATGGATCAATAACTGGTTAAAATATAGAAACCAAAGGATAGGAATAAATGGTCAGTTTTCACAGTGGAGAGAGGTAAATAGCGGGGTCTGCCGAGAATCAGTACTGGGGCCAGTGCTGTTCAACCTATTTATAAATGACCTGGAAAAAGGGGAAACAGTGAGGTGGCGAAGTTGCAGATGATACAAATTCAAGATAGTTAAATCCAAAACAGACTGCGAAGAGTTACATAGAGATCTCACAAAACTGGGTGACTGGGCAAGAACATGGCAGATTAAATTAAATGTTGATAGATGCAAAGTAATGCACATTGGAAAACATAATCCCGACTATACATACACAATGATGGGGTCTAAATTAGCTGAATACCATTCAAGAAAGAGATCTCAGAGTTCTTCAAATAGATGCAGCCATATATTCCATCTAGGTGTGTGCACACCCAGCATGTCAGAGCTGGAGAATTTTTCTTAGCAGTATCAGTAGAGACAGTGCTCGTGCCTTGGGCTGTAATCCCACCCCTGGCCAGTGTTCCCTCTAAGCTGCATGCCTGCACGGCCGCACAAGAGGCCATCAAGGGCTGTGCATCTGATTAGTACAGCTGCACAGGCACGCACACAGGGGTAGCCACAAGTGGGCCTGCAGGATGTGTAGGGTGAGGTGGGGAATAGGATGTGGGTGGGGGCAGAGGAGGGAGGTGGGGTGGTATTAATGGGGGAACTTAGGGCATGCAGGGCTACGGTGAGGAGAGGGGGCTCTCTCCAAGCCCCAGGCCTGTGGTGGGAAGAGATGCCTCTCTCAGCTCTGGGGCTGTAGTGGGGAGAGATGCCTCTCCCCCAGCCCCAGGGCTGCGGCGGGGAAAGAGGACTACTGAACATTATGCAGTGTTAATTTTCTTTTTATTTGATTTCATATGAAATCAATGTCGTAAGCAGTGCACCTTGTTAATTATCCCTTGTTTTAATATTTTTTTTCTTCTTCCATACCTATGGTAACTTTTTAAAAATATATATTATATCTAGATTTTTTGTTTCTACTGGTGGCGCACATTACCTTGATATTGGTGCTGCACATAATAAAATTCATTCCGCACATGGTTGAAAAAAATTAGAGTGAACATTGTGGCCCTGTCTATATGAGGCAGTGCTGCCCTGACTCCCATCCTCTACCCCCAGTTCCTTCTCACTGCCCATGGCTGAAGCCGGAGCTCTGTGTGGTTATCAGCTCACATTCAAACCTAGTTTTCTGAGGGGTTTTTTCGTTCATGTATATAGTTTTTAGATAGTCACTAGTACCCTAGATAGTGTTAGTTAGTTAGTTAGTTAGTTAGTTAGTTAGTTAGGATACTTATTGCCCTGTGTGATGCTTTCACCAGGGTTCAAGCACTGCCCGTCATGTGGGTGGGTGATTCCTAATAGTGATCCCCACATGAGATGCTTGCCATGTTTAGGGGAACACACTGAGGAGCAGTGCTCTGTTTGTAAATCATTCACCAAAAGAAACCAGGTGGCCAGAGACGTACACTTGGAACAGCACCTTCTCGAGCAGGCCATGAGACCTGTTTCACTACCTGTTTCTCTACCGAGGCCTAAGATCAGCTGTTACCTCCCCCAAGAGACGGAGGAGCCGTTCACCCTCCTCGGGATCACTGAAGTCCCATAAAGTTAAATGGGACCATCCCAGGGCTCATGGAGACTCTTCCTCCTCCTCTAAAAAGAGTATGGACCGGCACCGTACCACTTCTGCCATGCAGGATGGAGTAGGTCCATCAAACCACTTCCAGGTACTGTGCGAGGAGACTGAGAGCCCCAACCATCTCCAAGGAGGCATACCAGGAGGCAGCAGAGTTACTCTGCCTATCTATTCCGGATTATCCACTTATCCAGGATTATCCACTTATCCAGGATGTTACGGCCTCCACCACCTTGGTAACACCCTTTGGTCGTGTTGCAGAGACAGAGTCTGTCGGCACAGCAGGCTGGTCCTTTTGTGCCACAGACTGTAGAATTGAGGCCAGTGTTGGGCCTGGCACTGAGGACCTCCTCGTCACTGGTGCACTCCTCGGCACCAACATTGTCTTGTCAGCAGTTTCTGCCTTCTACTTTGGTACCAATCCCTTCCCTGGCACCAGGAGTAGGTGTCAGATAATTGGTACCAACTATGCCGATTCCTCATCAGCACCAGTATCACTTTCCTGTTGGGCTGTGGATGAGTCTAACCATCTGCTTACACCATTGGGACTAGCTTCAATGCTTTCACCAGAAACATGGGGGGACTTGGTATCCAGGTCAGGGTCCTACTCCCAGCCTTCATCACTTGATTGGCACCAGGGACCATTCTCGGAGCAGTATCGGTATTGAGATCAGCACTGTCCGTGTAGTCGGGACCTGGGCTCCTGGCTTGGTGCCTACTGGCCACCAGTGCCTTATCTGTACCCACAGAGGCCTCCTTGGAATCCCTGGGGTGCTCCTCAGTCCCAGAGATCATATTCTTCAGCCAGCTCCAGAGCGAAATCACAGGTCCTGTTGGTGGCTAATGTTGTTGCTGATCCACCACAAGCTCAGACAACTGTTGAGTCTTCTTCAGGGCCTCCAGACTTGTCTCATCTGGGTCCAGTTATTCAGGAACAGAATACATCCCTGGTGTACTTGGCTGCTTCTTCATCATCTCCTGATGATTCAGTGGTACCAGGTTCCTCTTCTCCCTCAATGCCTGAGAATTTGAAGGCATACCAGGACCTTTAGCAGCATATGGCTGCTTACTGGGGCATCCAGGCAGAATTTTTACAGAAGAATATGCACAAGTTCCTCTACAGTTTCCAACCATCTGCTCCAGGGAAAGTAGGCCTCCCTATTAATGACGCTCTCCTGGAAATGTGGTCCATTTTGCCAGACTGTCTTCTCCTTCTCCAAATGTGACTGAAGTCAGTCTTTCATCTGACCCATCATCACTTGCACAGACTGGTCTGACTTTCTCCGCCATTCCTGGTCTCCTTATGGTGGTGGACAGTTCAGGATAACATATGCCAGGGTTTTCCTTGCTCAGCCCCTACCAACCAGGACTGTTTTTGGGGAGCACATCTGGGGTCACTAAAAGTTCAGGGCTTGTGGCCAGAACAGGAAGCATCACTGCATATCAACATCCTGGAGCTTCAGGCCACCTACATCCCTGTCACACTTTTTCTCATCATCCACACTTTCCAAAATCACATGAAGGACTCAGTGGTTCATGTACTAACTGACAATACCACTGCAATGT